GCATCTATATCCCTGCGACCAGGGTCGCGAGGATGATTTCTTCCGACTTCATTGTTGTTGGCCATTGAACAAGGCAAATCCGAGCTCTAATACCACTTGACGCAGAACGGAAGTCAAAAATTTACCAGCATAAATCTTGAAAATAAGAAAACTGAAATTCTTCATGAAAGAAACTTGTATGCCATTAATAATGACACCGAAAATGTTCAAAAGCCTTTAAATAGGCGTTACAAGAAACCCTAAAAACATAGAATAGTATAACGTTCCAAAAATAGCAAAAATTCAAAACGGAAAATATGGGAATTAATTATTCGGAGGCCTAAATGAATTGGCTAAAATCCCGAGATCTCGGCCGTTTCCAATCAACCAGCCAAATTTCAGCTCATCGCGACATCATCGCGACAAATGACAAAATTACCCCTGGTGCGGTCTTTTTTCGTCAATTTTCTATCCAACGCTTCTTCAAACTCCAAAGTTAGTTGTCCTACATCACTCTCTCTCTCTCTCTCTCTACAACCCTTGGAAAAGCTGCATATATGATTGAATCTTTTAGATGTGTTTTGGAGAAATCTTATTGAGCTCTGTGTTGTGTTAAGGTTTGTTTATATTATAAAAAGATTCATTCTAGATATGGCTTGTTCAGGTAGTTTGTGGTTATATTCCGGTTTTCATGACAATTTGTTTTCTTAAATCTAAATCTTATATCATCTATTCATAATTCGTGTGATTGATTCTAGATAAATATGTCACGTGATTCTGCAAGTTAATATGATTGAGGATGTTACAGGCCTAGCATCACAGTGCTTAGCATATATATATATATATATATAACCCACCTCACCTCCACCACTCCTACCACTCCAGTGACCATTCCGACGAATACTTTGATTTCGGCGACTATTCCCGTGACCGTTTCGATGACTTCTCCGATTCCGACGATTATTCCGATAACCGTTCAGGCGACTGATCCGATTCCGACAACCATTCTGGTGACTGTCACAAATTTATATAATATGGTCATAGATTCACAATTTAGTTAGTTACATATTATTTTTCGATCACAGATCATATTTTTTTACGTCATAAATTATTTTACGGTCACAATTCAAAAATTTTATAGGTCACAATTTGTTTATCAGTCACGGATCAAAAACTTTGTATGTCACAAATTATGTCGAGGTCATAAATCAAAAATTTTATAGGTCACAGATAATTTTATTGGTCACTTATCAAAAAATTACAGGTTATAGTTATGTCATAGTTTGTTTATTGGTCACAGGTTAAAAATTTTGTAGATCACAGATTATTTTGAGGTCACAATTTAATAATTTTATAGGTCACAAATCAAAAAATTACATGTCACAATTATTTATAAGTCACATATTTTCAAATTTATTGGTCACAAATTAATTTTCAGGAGCAAATTGTCAAATTTTAAGATCACAGTTAATCCATTATGTGATTTTTTTCGTAACCACCACCGACATCTGTGACTACCCCGACACTTGTGACCACCACCTCACCACCACCACTGCTACAGCCACCACCACCACCATCACCACCACACCAAGTCACCATGACCTCCAGCAACCGTCATTATGAAAAATTTGTGTTTCACACACCTCAAGTTCTAAAATGTCACGAATGAGAGCTTTGTTTATGACAATGCGTTTATTTTCAAATATGAAATGTCACCAAAAAGGGAAGTAATATACATATTTTTGCAAATTCTTTCATGAGTCCTGAGTATGCATGCTCTTCTAAAGTTGCAATAAAAATTCAACCCATATTTTCAAAAAGTTCTTCTATATGAAATGCGGGTGCTTCAATAGTAAAATCCATAAAATCAACATTTTTACCTATCAAAATGGGGGAGTTTTCAAATGGGTTGGTTGGCAGCTCGGGTTTTAAATCGAAATCTTCGTCAGATGAAAGGGAAGGAGATCCCCTCATCGTGCTCTTAAGCCATTTTCCCATTCAGTTTGAGCCAGACATTGTTGAAAATCAAGAATGAATATGGAGAGAGGAATATAAGAGGTTAGGGTTTCAATTTGGCAAAATTTGAATGTAGTGGATGAAATTGAGAATTTCTTGAGGAATTGAGATGCAGAAGTAATGGGTTTTTGATTTTGATAAGTAATTGATGATTAGAGATGGAGGATTGAGTGATGGAGAAGAGAATTAGAGAGAAAAAAGTGAGAAAAGTGGAAGAAAATGGAAGAGAAAAGGGCATGTTCGCGATTCTTAAAAACTGACCTATTGCTGAACCGGACGTTCGGTTTGACAGAAAAACTTTTTGTTAAACAGCACGCTTGTTCGGATGTCCGGTTTCTCGTCCGGATCCTTTTTTTAATAATAAAATATACTAAATCATGTAAATTTGGTGCACATGAAATAATGAGATGAAAACATGTAAGCGAATGTAGTTATGAACTTAATCATGCACTTCAAATTCATCAATAATGCCTAAACCTATTCTAATATATGAGAATCGATCAAGAGTTAGAGGTTTTGTGAAGATATCAACCAATTGATTTTTCGTATTTACAAATTCTAACACAATGTCACTATTTTGAGCATGGTCTCTTAGGAAGTGATGTCTAATTTCAACATACTTTGTCCTAGAGTGCAAAATAAGATTTTTAGACAAGTTTATGTCACTATTATTATCACATATAATGGGTATGTGATCAAGGGATAGGTGGTAATCACTAAGGACATGTTCTGCTAGTGTTTTTACAATCGATTGTGCACCCGACCCAATCGGCATCCGAATAGCTAAGTTGATCAATGTGAGTGTCATTGGGATACCAAAGCCCTAAAGTTCTAGTGCCACTAAGATATCTAAAGATTCGTTTCACAGCCTTAAGATGTGATTCTTTAGTATTTGATTGAAATCTAGCATATAAATACACACTAAATATAATATCGGGTCTATCTGCGGTTAAATGAAGAAGGGATCCGATTATACCCCGATATTTTGTTATATTAACGAACGTACCTTGATCATCCTTGTCCAATTTTATGGATGTGCTCATATGGGTGTTCATTAGCTTCAAGTCATCCATGTCGAACCTCTTGAGTATGTCCAATATGTACTTACTTTGATTGATGAAAATTCCATCACAAGTTCACTTAATTTGGAGACCGAGGAAAAATTTAAGTTCTCCCATCATACTCATTTCAAATTTCATACTTATGCACTTAGAAAACTCTTCACAAAGATAAATATTTGTAACATCAAATATATTATCATCAATGTAAATTTGAATAATGATCATATTGTTCTTTTGAATTTTAATAAAAAGAGTGGTATCCACTTTTCCAATTGAAAAACCATTTAAAATTAGAAATTTGCTCAACTGTTCGTACCAAACCCTAGGAGCCTGTTGTAGACCGTAAAGAGTTTTTTTGAAGTTTGAAAGCATAGCCCGGATGTTTGTGATTTTTAAAACTAGATGATTGTTCAACAAACACTTTTTCTTGAATAAAATCGTTAAGAAATGTACTTTTGACATCCATTTGATAAAGAGTGATTTTTTTATGATAAGTAAATGCAAGAAGCATGCGAATGGATTCTAATCTAGCCACCGGTGTAAATGTTTCTTCAAAATCGATGCATGTTTCTTGATTGTAACATTGGGCCACTAATCTAACCTTGTTACGTACAATTATTTCGTTTTCATCACGTTTATTTCTAAAGACCTATTTAGTACTGATGATGGTTTGATTTTTTGGTCTATCGACTAAATCTCAAATATAGTTTCGTTCAAATTGATTTAGTTCTTCCTGTATAGCTAGAATCCAAAATTCATCAAATTCGGCATCTTTGAAATTTTTCGGTTCAATTTGTGAAATGAATGCACAACTACTTAAATGATTTTTAGTAGAGGCTCTAGTAGTAATACATTTTGATGGACTACCAATGATTAGTTATTTAGGATGAGAAGGAACAAACCTCCATTATTTTGATAGAGATAAAACATTTTAAACTTTGGTTGGCTCTTTTTCACTTTGTCGAACACTTTCTCTTTCTCGATGTTCATCTTGTGGATCTTCTTTGTATTGATCTTAAATAATCATCTGTTCGAATGGAGTTTCCAACCCTACATCAATATCAATACCTTTCTCACGATCAAGAGAGTTAGTTTCAACGAAAGTGGTATGCATGAATTCTTCAACGACTAGAGTTCTTTTTTTGAAAACCCTATAATTTTGTGTCGACCCCGCCGAACCATAATCTTGAGTTCGCACCTGCCCACAAGCCATTGGTGCCACCACCACTTGGTCATGAACTAGCTCACCTCTAAACAATAAACTAAAAAACCATTAATCATGAACTCGCTCACCTCGAAATTGAATCATGAACAAGATCTAAAAAAAAAAAAATTATAGAATATATTATAGCATTTTTATGACAAAATGAATTGATATATCATGAAAATATTTCCTTTTCCTAAAGATTTGGTCCGATATTTCAAATTTTTTTGTTTGGGATTAAATTGTTGAACGATGAGGGTTGGGTTTTGTGCGTAAATTTATGGAAGAACCAAATTTCTCAGATTTCTCCGATTGTTATTTCTAGTGGATTGTGATTGTTGTGAATTAATTTCAGTAAGAAAAAATCGTATTTCAATTCTGAGAAATATGCCGTATTTTTCAATTTTGAGAGGGGGGGGGGCATATATACCATAATTTTGCCAAGTTAAAGTCCACAATTAGGCGCATTAGTAATTGAAGTTGATGAAGTTAAAGTCCACAACTAATTGGCATTTCTAAGTGAAGTTTTCAAGAGTTCATACGGAACAATACATCCAAATCTTCATTTAACATTATACTTATCACAAACATACCGTTTATTGAATATAAAGAGTAGCATGTTACAACTTGGCTTTCTAAGCCAACAACAAAAGGAAATCGAAGGAGAACACATGCATGCATGCATGAATTATTAAACACAATAACTCAAATGAAACACCATCACACTAATAATTTGATGTTTATCTGCTTCTTATCCTTTTCACAGAAGCATTTTCTCCTTCATTTGCTTGAGCTTGTATCTTCAACAAATTAGGCTTCTCGTCTAATAAATTCATAAACCATATAGCAGACATTTTTGGGATTCTTGTCAACCGTCCATTCACAAAATCCACATAAAAAATGCCAAATCTGACGGTGTATGCTGAACTCCATTCAAAATTGTCGAACATTGCCCATATATAGTAAGCGTTCACATCTACGCCTTCTCTGAGAAAATATTTTGTAGCAAGATAGTCAAATTATTTCATAATTTACAATTAGCTTTGAGAACAGATATATAATTATATGAATGATGTCTTACTCCATTGCTTGCTTAATATAGTAGAGATGTTCTTGATGATATGTAATCCTCTTCTCATCAAACCGAGCTTCTGAAACTGTTATGGCCGTATTATTAACTTCATCCACCCCTAAACAAGTAAGCCATCGAATAAATTTCAATAAAATGGTAAATATTACAAAAATTCTTTTCTTACTATAGGGAAAAAAAGCTAACGAACATGCCATGTATTTACCATTCTCAGTAATAAAAATGCTGGGATTGTCATATTTTGCCTTTATATAAATCAACAGCTTGTAAATCCCAATTGGAACAACGTAGAGCCAATCTGAACCGGCCTAAAATCATCAAAAAAAAATGATATTATTCAGTAAGCATTAGAAATAAAACTACGACAATAATGACACGATAATCCACCCCATAAATTGTTTAAATCGCTCCATCTCATATGAAAATATGTTATAGAAAAATCATTAAAATTATCTACTCTGTTTTCCATTTATTTCTAAGAAAAACCAAGCTAAAAAGTATACCTGTGGACCAATAGGTATCCCATCACGTTCACCTACAAATCATTGAGGGAGTAAGCATTATGTGATGAGCTTAATTTATTAATACATGAAAATGTTTGATATACTTACCTGATAATGTGACTTGTTGATCAGTTTCGTAACTTGGTTTAGCACTAGGCGACGGAGGTGGCGCACTGGTAGCGTAATTAGTAGTGTAATAATTTACGCCTAGAAAGTCATAGGATCCTTTCACCAACTTAATTTGTTCCGGCTTAAATTGGGGAAGACGTGTGCCCACAATTTCCCTCATAGCTGGTGGATAATCACCGGAATGATAACCACGATGTTTGGAAAAAGGGAGGACCATAAAATTTTGATTAAGAAGTTATATTAAGACTAAAATCCTACACAATTAATAACATTTCTAAAAAATGAGACATCTTATAGAAGAAGTGCCAAAAACAAATTGGTGGAGAAGGCATGTATTTAAATCCAAACTATAATTTTGGCTATAAATTTACTCTTAAGAAATCATAGCAGTTCAAGTGATAGTTGTGCAATATCGTAGGTAAAATACCAATAGGGGTTGCCCATGTTTGAGCCACATTATTTTTTCATTATCATTTTTCTACTCATTTTCAACCACACAAATTAATTACCATCCGAACATAAAATCAATGGCCCTTGAAGCAGCCTCTATATCTTCTTTGGTGTCAGCAAGTGGCTCAAACCACTGTGAAACATTTGTCATTCCTATCTTGCCTCCTTGATGTGCCTGCACATATGCGTTTGTATAACATATATATTATTAAATCTCAGAATTGTGTATAAATTTTCTTGCCCGAAGTTAATGTGTGTGAAGAATGTTACCTGATATCTTTGTCTGTATATATCAACTGCTGCTGCGTGAGAAAGGATCAGATGATGTGCCACAGTATATGGTTCTGTACCCGGATTTCCAGCTGTAGAAATAGATCTAGCTCCTCGTCTAGATCTATGACGAGGAATAGATGTTACAGGCGTCGATGTTGTTGCACCTCGAGCGGGTGGCCAAGTGCCCAACACATATCCTTGAACAGTATAGGACCATGGCTCATTCAATGTGACCCAATGTTTCACCCGGTCACCAAATTCCCAAAAGCAAAGCTCAGCAAATTCACAGTAATCTTTCCTGTTTATCAAAAAAGAACATATATCCATATGGTTTACCATGCTTGACTTTACTTTGAATTTGCTTTGTTTTCATTTAAATATGCTTTTGCAAATACCCAAAGAAAATGTGTTTTTTATGCAAGATTCAATTACTTACACTATTCGAGGACTTAGAAATCCACCATACTGATCTTCCAAAATTTGTGGAGTATCCCAGTGAAAGATAGTTGCACATGGTTTAATGCCTACAGAAAAGTAAATATAAGATTCCAAAAATGTAAGATTTTTATCATTTTAAAAAGAAAAATATATCAATTGTTAAAAAAGAATATAAAGAAACAATTGTATTGGAGTCTAATTAACCTTTGGCCACAAGCAAATCTATAAGATCATTGTAGTACTTAATTCCATCTCTATTTATTCCAGCGGATAATTTTCCTCCTAAAATATCAATAAAGAAAAACAAAATTTAATAAAACTTCATCAAAGTAATTGATCATATTCTCCATGTTCTCATATTCGTGTGTACCTACCTGGGAGTACTCTAGTCCATGAAATTGAAAATCTATAAGAATTGAAGCCCACTTTTTTTAACAAAGCTACATCTTCCTGCAACATTATGTAAAATGAGTAAAAATTATTCCACCAAGACACTACGGATTATTTTTCTCAATTGTCTTTAAAATATTCCTCAAATTAAATTTTATGAATTACCTTCCATAAATTATATTGATCAATAGCAACGCACCCATTACTTCCATTTTCAATATAACCTGCCACTCAAATAAATACTCTTAGCAATTAACATGTAACAAGCACAAATACATGCACTAATCATGCACTATTTATTTATACCAGGTGCTCTCTGTGTGAAGACATCCCAGTTGCTCAAGCCTTTACCACCTGCGGCCCAAGCACCTTCAACCTGTAATGCAGCAAAAAGAAAAGAATTAAAACCCAAGCAAATCGTGTTTTCCCCCACTTTTTGAGTGGATAAGGTAAAAGTACAATATTATATTTCAAGAATTATAATAAATCTAAAAATCGCGCTTTTAACGATATAAAAAAATTTTAAAAAATTAATATAAAGTCTTTATGACATTTAAATGAATTAATCTAAGTGCATGAGCATGATAACCAGGATATTTTGTTTACGAACATTACCTGATAAGCAGATACTCCAGAACCAAAGATAAAATCTGAAGGGAAATCAGAGCGCTTGATCTTCATCTCGGTAAATTTGCTTGCATCACTACCAAAGGGATAATCCAGTGCATCGGCGCCATCAGTCATCAAGCTGCTTTGGCTATCCATATATACTACAAAATATTTTTTTTGAATTACAATATGAAAATTGATAATTGAAGATTACAAGATTGAAACTTGAAATTGAAAGTTACAATTGAAAATATTTTTAAAGAAAATTTAAAAATTAGAAGGATAATTTTAAAAAATTTCTTAAGTCTCTCTCGTTGTATTACACTTTTTTTCTAATGGCATTTAATATTTTGTTATTAGTAATATCTCTTGGACTCGAGACTAAATCAACAATTATCACAACAACTATTTTGTCTCTTCTTTGAAAGAAACCGCCTTCTGAATAATTGTAAAGCTACTTTTGACAATTGAGGTGTTACTTTTGAAGATTAATTCCCTTTTTTTGGGTCGTGTCCACTTCTCCTACAGTACCTTTTCTAGCAAAAGACATAGCTGAATAGTAACAAGAAAACGACAATCTTACAATTGAAAACAAAATGCTTCTGGCAAATTGTGATAGCCTAAGGATAGCTAATCAAGAGGGAGTAAATTGGTTTTTAAAATTTTTTCGAAAAATTAATCTAAAATCAGGCATGTAATAACTAAATAGATTAATTCAAATAATAATTATGAATATAAAAGCGGTAAGTGAAGAAAGATAGAAGATGCAAACGATATATTATGGAGGCTCTATCTAAAATCAAGCACGTAATAACTATATAGATTAATTCAAATAATAAGTACGAATATGAAAACAATAAGTAAACAGGGATAGAGAATGTAAACGATATAATTATGGAGGTTTGATCCAACGCAATGATCTACGTCTTCCGTTATCAAGCTCTCCGGCATAAACAAGGCCAATTTCACTATGTTGATTGACTTGTGGTACAATCCAACCCTTTACAAAGTTTTCGGTGATTTACGGACAAGGAGTGCCGATCCTTATACGACGCTAAGTTTTACGAGACCCCAACATGACCCACAAGTTTAAAGAAAATTGAAACTTTTCTTTTAATAAATGTATGATCACAATTAAGTCCTAATAGAGAAATATGCTAACATTTTAATAAATAGCAACAAATGAAGCTCAAGTATTAGGTATGAAATTTTTTTATGTGTAGAATGATTTTTAAAAGTTAATTCGATCGAAAGTTTTTCAAAACTAAAATGATTTGATAATAATAAATGATATTAGAAATCAATACAATTTTGCTCAAAAGAATCTCACTTGAATGCTCTTAAATTGTTGTAATGAATGATAAGTGAGTTGGTATTTATAGCAGTTGAAAACGTGAAATTCTTTGTCGAACCGAACAATCATCTGGACGTCCGGAACAGTATTGAACGACTGGATAGTTGGTACTTCGTTAGAAATCAAAACGGTCGAAAACTCGACAGAAATGTCTCGGTACGTCCGTTTGATTTTCGGACACATAGTAGGCTTTACATGACCTTTTTACTTGCTTTTTCAAGGTAAGTGATGCTAATATGATTGAAAAGTTAATTTGAAAGTCTTACCTTTAAAAAATAATTTTTGTAAAAATGTTTTACGAAATAAATTTTATTGTGCATAAAAATTCATTACCTGAGCTTTCAATGAGTCATTGCTATAGATTAAAGTATTTTATCATTACAAGTGAGATCAAACATATCATTCTAATATCTTCGATTGATTTGGCGCGAGTGCACAATTTGTTGTTCGATTTTGAATTTCGCGCAAGTGCTCAATTTATCTCTGATTGTTTTTGAGCGAGTGTCGATTGAGAATGCTCGATTTTCAAGTTCGATTGTGGATGCTTTATTTCCATCTTCAGCTTTCTTGATCGCCACCTTCACGTCCTTTGGTAACAATTGTTTTGTCTCCAATTGCAATATGCAACAATGAAGATTCGAATACAAATGTCAGAGATGAAAATAATTTGTTTATTATAATCAAAACATAAGATCGATCATAGGTCAACAATTTCCCTCTTTTTGATTATGACAAACAAATGATGATTTGCAATAAGAAAAATAATTTATCTCACGTGATTCGTACATTGCTATATCATTCTCCCTATCTTTTATAGATCAAACATTTATATGATATTGTTTCCCCTTTCTTATACAAGTCAAGCGTGCATATCATCATACATATATTTTCCCCCTTTCGACATAAACAAAAAGAATATGAAGTAGGAAATTAAGATAACCATAGGCAAAAAGAATAAAATATAAAGCATTATCCAAAGGAAACCGCATAAAATTGAAATCATAGTGAAATATTCATCATAAACCAAATCATAGAGAAACATTAATCATGAAGCGAAAAGAAATATCCATCGTAAAGCAAATAAGGTAATATTCATCATGAATAAAAATAACGACTATGGCTCCGGAGGAGGAAAGTTGGCATAGAAGGCTTTCTGTTGGGCCTCCATCTCTGCCATTATGCTTGAATGGCTTCCTATTGAGCTAGTATGGCGGCCTATTGAGCTTGTATATCAGCCTATTGAGCTTGCATCTGATGGAGCATCCCGCCGAGGCCATCAACCGAGGATGTGAGAGAGTCAATATGTCTATTCAACTGTTGTATTAATCATCGATAAACGTGAAGCCACTATCCAAAGATCGAGGGATATTGGAGCCCGAAATGTCGTGACGAGGAATAGGAGCTTCCAGTACGTCATCGTTGTCACCATCGTCATCAATTTCAAATGGTAAAGTCGAAGGACCAAAGGTGAGGTCGAACCCCTTGGTATGTGTCACCCACTGACCATGTTCATTAGTAATTTTCATGCGTTTAAGGGTTTGAATGTTTATAGTGTCAGTTGGTCGAAGTTGGACAAATGTCTCATCATCCAACGAAACGTTAAAGTATTTAAAAATTTTCGTGAAAAGCATACCATATGGTAAAACTTTAACGTGTCGTGGGGAATGGACAAACTTCATGAGTCCTAATGTAATGGTGGGAAAATCAAGTTTCCCACCGACAAGAATAGAGTTGAGAAATAAGATATCAAATGAACTCACTTCATCCCAATGACCCTTTCGTGGTAGGATAACATTTGCAATGATATTTTATAAAACCTTGTAGGAAGAGTCAATTGATTTGCACCAACTTTAGGGATATTTCAAAAAAAATTCCCGGTGACTCTACGACAAGCCTCGGTAGGGTCATAACCGTCTAACGTGAGATGTGCCTAGTGAAGAAAAAATTGCGTTTCACACACCTCTAGTTTTAAAATGTCACGAATGAGAGCTTTGTTTATGACAATGCATTTATTTTTAATCAAACATGAAATGTCACCGAAACGGGAAGTAATATACATGTTTTTGTAAAATTATTTCATGAGTCCTGGGTATTCACGCTCTTCTAAAGTTGCAATAGAAATCCAACTTCTATTTTCAAAAAGTTCTTCTATATGAAATGCGGGTGCTTCAACAATAAAATCCGCAAAATAAACATTTTTACATATCAAACTGGGGGATTTTTCAAATGGGCTTGCTGGCACCTCGGGTTTCAAATCGAACTCTCATCGGATGAAGGAGCAGGAGATCGCCTCACCGTGCTCTTAAATCATTTTCCCGTTCATTTTGAACTCGACATTGTTGAAAATCGAGAATGAATATGAAGAGGGGAATATAAGAGGTTAGGGTTTCAATTTGGTGAAATTGAATGTAGTGGATGGAATTGAGAATTTCTTGAGGAATTGAGATGTAGAAGTAATGGGTTATTGATTTTGATAAGTAATTGATGATTAGAGATGGAGGATTGAGTGATGGATAAGAGAATTAGGGGAAGAAAATGGAAGAGAAAATGGCATGCTCGCGATTCATAAAAACTGACCCGTGATTGAACCAGATGTTCGATTTGACAGAAAAAATTTCTGTTAAACCGGAAGGTCTGATTCAATCCGGACGTCCGGTTTCTCGTCCGGATCTTTTTTTTAATAATAAAACATACTAAATCATGTAAATATGGTGCACATGAAATAATGAGATGAAAACATGTAAGCGAATGTAGTTATGGACTTAATCATGTACTTCAAATTTATCAATAATGCCTAAACCTATTCTAATATATGATAATCGATCAAGAGTTAGAGGTTTTGTGAAGATATTGACTAATTGATTTTTCGTGTTTACAAATTCTAACACAATATCACCCTTTTGAGCATGGTCTCTTAGAAAGTGATGTCTAATTTCGATGTGCTTCGTCCTAGAGTGCAAAATAGGATTTTTAGACAAGTTTATGGCACTATTGTTATCACACATAATGAGTATATGATCAAGGGATAGGTGGTAATAATTAAGAGTTTGTTTCATCCATAGAACTTGTGCACAACAACTAGCTAAGTGCAAAGCCTAGAAAATGACACGTTTCGCTAGTTCTTTTATGATCGATTTGCACCCGGCCCAATCGGCATCCGAATAGCTAAGTAGGTCAATGTGATTGCCCTTGGAATACCAAAGCCCTAAAGTTCTAGTGCCACTAAGATATTTAAAGATTCGTTTCACAACCTTAAGATGTAATTCTTTAGTATTTGATTGAAATTTAGCACATAGACACACACTAAACATAATATCGGGTCTACTTGCAGTTAAGTAAAGAAGGGATCCGGTCATATCTCGATATTTTGTTATATTAATGGACGTACCTTGATCGTTCTTCTTCAATTTTATGAATGTGCTCATATGGGTGTTCATTGGCTCCAAGTCATCCATGTCGAACCTCTTGAGCATGTCCAATATGTACTTACTTGGATTGATTCATTACAAGTTCACTTAATTTGGAGACCGAGGAAGAATTTAAATTCTCTCATCATACTCATTTCAAATTTCATACTTATACACTTAGAAAACTCTTCGCAAAGATAAATATTAGTAGCACCAAATATAATATCATCAACGTAAATTTGAACAATGTCCATATCATTCTTTTGAGTTTTGATAAAAAGAGTGGTATTCGCTTTTCCAATTGAAAAACCATTTGAAATTAGAAATTTGCTCAATCGTTCGTACCAAACTCTAAGAGTTTGTTTTAGACCGTA